TCGTCTTTGACGTTTTCTTTTTTGTTTTAAGTCCTTTTCCTATGTTTCTATATTTTCTTTCTTTCTTCGTTTCTTTTCTTTCTTTCTTTTTTCTTTTTTCTTTCTTCCTCCTTCTTCGTTTTCCGTTTTACGTTTTCTTTTTAAGTCCTTCTTCCTCCCCATCTATTTCTTTCTTTCTTTCTTTCTTTCTTTCTTTCTTTCTTTCTTTCTTTCTTTCTTTCTTTCTTTCTTTCTTTCTTTCTTTCTTTCTCCTCCTTCGTCTTTGACGTTTTACATTTTTGTTTTTAAGTCCTTTTCCTCCCCTTCTATATCTTTCTTTCTTTCTTTCTTTCTTTCTTTCTTTCTTTCTTTTTTCTTTCTTTCTTTCTCCTCCTTCGTCTTTGACGTTTTACATTTTTGTTTTTAAGTCCTTCTTCCTCCCCTTCTATATCTTTCTTTCTTTCTTTCTTTCTTTCTTTCTTTCTTTCTTTCTTTCTTTCTCGTCTTTATGTTTTTTACATTTTTGTTTTAAATCCTTCTTTCCCCATTTATTTTTTCTTTCTTTCTTTCTTTCTTTTTCTTTCTTTCTTTCTTTCTTTTCTTCTTTTCTTTCTTTCTTTTTCTTTCTCCTCTTTCGTCTTTTACGTTTTACATTTTTTGTTTTTTAAGTCCTTCTTCCTCCCTTCTATATCTTTTCTTTCTTTCTTTTTCTTTTCTTTCTTTCTTTCTTTTTTCTTTCTTTTTTTTCTTTCTCCTCCTTCGTCTTTGACGTTTTACGTTTTTGTTTTAAGTCCTTCTTCCTCCCCTTCTATATATCTTTTTTTTTCTTTCTTTCTTTTCTTTCTTTCTTTTCTTTCTTTCTTTTTCTCCTTCGTCTTTTTACGTTTTTTAGATTTTTTTTTTAAGTCCTTCTTCGTCCCCATCTATTTCTTTCTTTCTATATTTCTTTCTTTCTATATTTCTTTCTTTCTTTTCTTTCTTTTCTTTCATATGGGAAGAAAATAAGTAACTAAAGACACTGAGGTTCGAGCCTGACACTCTGTACTTATAATTATAGGTTCCCCCCATGTGTATGTATAGCGGTATCAGGCTACTGACTGCAGTGATTATTGAGTGACTATTGAGTGGAACTATCCAGTCGAATTAGTGTGAATTATTGTCCGTCGATGAGTTGGGTGTTGATTTAGAATTTACCAGACGTTAAGCTGACCCTCGCTTCTAAAAAGGTATTTACTGAAATGGTTAAATATCTTTAGTTGACTTTTACTTCTTTGTTCTTGTTAAGTATTTATTTGCGGTTCTAATTAAATACTGTTTCATTTAACATTGGAATCTGAAGTTATACTTAATTATTAACGGTCACCGTACGTCACAAAATGTGTTAAATTATTCAAACCTGCTTTCCTCTGTATATGACCGACAAGAGACTTATTGGATATGAAGATAGATTTAATCCAGCTGCAAGACCTCTAATCGGGAGCTTGGAGGTTTTGAGGAGCATAGAAGCACGTCTTGGCTGCTGTTGTTCCCAGGTACACCCTGACATGGGGTGATAGCACTTGTTAGTGTCGCAGTTATGGGCAAATACTGACCCATCCCCAAACCGAAATTAACAGTAAAATTTATAGTAAAATTACCGACAATATATTTTATGATGTACAAAATTGTCATATAGGAAGAAAATGAGTAACTACCGACACCAAGGTTCGAGCGTGACACTCTGGACTTGTGAATATATGTTTCCCGCTAGGTGTATAAATAGCAGTGTCAGGCTACTGACTGCGGTGATTATTGAGTGACTATTGAGTGGAACTATCCAGTCGAATTAGTGTGAATTATGGTGCGTCGATGTTTCGGTTTTGATTTACCGGACGTTAAGCTGACCCTCGCTTCTAAAAAGGTATTTACTGAAATGGTTAAATATCTTTAGTTGACTTTTACTCCTTTGTTCTTGTTAAGTATTTATTTGCTGTTATAACTGAATACTGTTTTAATTTAACATTGAAGTCTTGACTTATACTTAATTATTAACGGTCACTGTACGTCAAAAAACGATAAAATTTTATTTTGAGTTAAATTTACTATATATATATATATATATATATATATATATATATATATATATGAATAAAGACAGACCACGTTAAGATTCCATGTAATAAGCTATTTCACCATAACCCCTTTAACAGGGTTCTGGATAATCAGACTTTTACTTAAAAAGCTGAAATGAAAAATGAAATTCATACGTTTTTTTTACGGACCTCATCAAGTATATGTAAAGTTAACGAAGTGAGGAAGTGAGGTGGGAGAGTATATATATATATATATATATATATATATATATATATATATATACCCAAGTCATAGGCTTTTTTGATAACTGAAGGGCGATGGTTGGAATTTGGATGTTTTTGATAAAAATATGTCTGGGTGCTTATATATTAGAATCCGATTGCGTTTGTGTTACGCGTGAGTTTAGGACCCCATTCACACACTCTTAGGATTAAAAAGGATACATTTTCAAGGGAGCGGATATGAAATTAGCTAAAGTAACTTCAATGAAGAAATAAATTGAATAACACATATATATTTCTTCTTTCTCCTCAATAATTTTATAGTTGTAAATTTAATAGCGATTAAGTTTTGATTTTGAAATTAGCAGTTTTTAATTTTAATATTAAATTTTATCATATAATTTAGTAATTATTGGTTGGAAGAAATTCTTTTTTAATACTACCTATATATTAAACATCTGAATAGATATTATGACATGACTTCGTTGTCAACCTTTTTGAATTTTCCTATACTTGTATTTTGATTGGTCAATCTAGCTTTTGTAACAACGTTTTCCCCTTGTGAAGGATTGTTAATTTGAAACTTTTAAAATCATTTATTTTACACTTAACATCATCACTTGATAAGACACCGAGGGTGTTGAAACAAATAAGCTATTTTGTAGTGATTTTATAACATATTTATGTTATAAATTTTTTAAATAAATAATTATATATATATATATATATATATATATATATATATATCTTCTTTATGTATATATATACATATCTCAATAAATAGTTATAATAAATTGGTTTTAATTTCTCATACACACACTCACACACACACACACATGTATATATATATATATATATATATATATATATATATATATATATATATATGAAATTATTCGCATCCCATCCCCTAAATCTCCACGCGCCAAACCCTGTAAACCGCTTCAGTAGGCGGTCTAAATCACGTGAAATTGCTATCGACAGGCGCTTCACTCTTCTGTGCATTGCTAGTAACGGAGAGGTATAATTCCGTGATAATAAAACCTCAAGGGTGTTGTTCATTGTGTTCGTGGCAAATATTTGCACCAACTCCTTGTTATCAGCACTTCCAATGAGTGTGTCTGGTTCTACACTATCCTTCACCACTCTAAACAAATCTTTTTTTTGTGTGGTTAGTCTGCAGTTCAGTTCTGTCTTCCTTCTTTGCTATTCTACCTGAGCAACAAGTCAAATGGAGAGAGAGTTAAGATGACGGGGTCAGGTACAGATTTAAAAACTAAACTGAAAGACATTCATACGTCAAAAACGACGAGAGAGTCCATCACATCATCATCATCATCATCATCATCATATATACATTATTTCGTAAAAATTAAAACCTTCTTGGCAAAATATATTACCACATGATAAGAAAATGATTAAACTACCGACATCAATGTTCAGGCGTGACTCCCTGTACGTACAAATATGTGTTTTCCTCCATGTGTATGAATATTTATTTGAGGTTGTAATTAAATACTGTTTTATTTAACAATGAACTCTTGAGTTATACATAATAATTAACGGCCACCGTACGTCACAAAAGTGTTAAATTTCCCAAACCTACTTTCCTCATGTTATGTCCGAGAAATGTTAACTGTTTATTTCTGATTCTAAATATATCCTTAAATTCCAGCAGTAATTCTCAGATCAACTTCTTAATGTTGATATTAAATACATTAAGTGTAATACAGGAAGAAAATGAGTAAAACTGCCTTCACCGAGGTTCGAGTGTGACAATTTGGATTATGAATTAATTATTAATGGAAACTGTACGTCACAGAAATGTCTTTCTTTCCTTCTTTCTTTCTTTTTTCCTTTCTTTATTTCTTTTTTCCTGTCTTTCATTCTTTTTTTCCTTTCTTTTTTCCTTTCTTTTTTTACTTTCTTCCATACTTTCTTTCTCCGTCTCCTTCATCTTCGTCTTTGACGTGAAAAGTTTTGTTTTTAATTTCTTATTTCGTCGTTTTTTTTTTAATACTTTCTGTCTTCTATCTTTCTTTCTTTCTTTTTCCTTTCTTTCTTTTTCCTTTCTTTCTTTTTCCTTTCTTCTTTTTTCTTTTTTTTTTTCTTTTTGATCACTTTTAAGTATAATCTGGCTACATTGTTTCTTTCTGTATTTTAGCTTTCATTTTCAAATACGCTACTATATTGGCATTCTTTATTTATTCATTTTTTCCCGCTTTCTTGTTTTATTTCTCTTCTTTCTTTCTTTCTTTCTTTCTTTCTTTTTTTCTTTCTTTTTTCCTTCCTTCCTTCTCTTAAAAATGTATTCTTTATTCTGTTTCTTTTCCTAACTTCCTCTCTCTTCGCCTACTTTCTTTTTTTTTTCTTTTTCCTTCTCTTTTTTCTTTCTCTTCTTTTTTTCTTTCTCTTTTTACAATTTTCCTCGCTCTTAGCATCTTTCCACCATATCTACTTTTAGCGATAAGCGGATTAGTGAAGTGAAGAAGCCATGGAATGAAGCGACACCATTCTGTCTTTATCTTGCGCGAATTGCCAAGATGGGCTTCGACAAAACGGAACACAGCCGTCAGCCCAACACACCAACCAATGACAGACGGACAACGAAACCAAATCACTACATATGGGTCATTCTAACCTATGCTGGTTGACATTTCTAACTGTGGTAAGCAGTTGTCGGGTGACAGCGAACGCATTATGGGATAATTGGGGTTTATTTGATAA